GTGTAGCAGCCATAGTGTGTCTGCTGCAGGGCCTCGAAGTTCCCTAGCAGGATGTCCCCCAGCCACTTGACATTCACGCACGGGATCTGCCACTCTTTGGCTTTCTCGTACTTTAAACCAGTTGGTCTTTTTTTGGTTGGGGTCGGGGGGAGAGAAAACACATTCATTAGAGTTATCGGTGTTCAAATTTGTACTTCTGTTAACACACACCAGCCCACACTTGCTCACACTGGACATGGCAGGGACGGTTCTGCAGAGCTGATTGGGCTGTAAGGAGGTGTCCATGTGATCATGAGGTCATCGCCCACCCTGCTTTCACCTCAGCACTGTCACCTAATTTGACTGCAGCCTACTTAATCGTATGATTTCATTCTTCTGCTAACATTACGACAAATATCACTGCCATTCTTTCAACAGACTCTGACGTCCACCATGGAACTCTGACAGACTGAGAGACGCATAGTGGCCCTGTGTGGGCCAAGACAGAACCCTGGCTGAGGAACCTGGAGCAGCACCTTGCGGCCTGAGATGGAACCCTGGCTGACTGAGGAACATGGAGTGGTCCTGTGCGGACAGACAGAACCCCATCTGACTGAGGGACCCAGACTGGCCTCATGGGGGCCAAGACAGAACCCTGGCTGGGGGACCCAGAGCAGCACCTTGCAGGCCAAGACATGAACCACAGCTGACTGAGGGACCCTTAGAGGCCCTGTGCGGGCAGAGATGGAACCCTGGGTGACTGAGGGACCCGGAGCAGCCCTGTGCAGGCCGAGACAGAACCCTAGCTGACTGAGGGACCCCGAGAGGTCCCATGTGGGCTGAGACAGAACCCTGACTGACTGAGGGACCCTTAGAGGCCCTGTGCAGGCAGAGATGGAACCCTGGCTGACTGAGGGACCCAGAGTGGTGCCAAGCAGGCTGAGGGCAGACGTGGTGGTGGCTGTGTTTACTCTCTGCAGATGAGGATGGTGTTGCTGTGGCACAGGTAGCCCGTGTACTTGGCACCTGCCAGGTACACCATTAGCTTAAGGTCGTCCCTGTCACTGTTGACGAACCCAGTCATGGAGATAATCTGGAAGGGAAAGGTCCAGTAAGGTCAAGATGTAATGATGGTTTAACCCAGTTAGTATGATTCTTTCTTCTCCCTGTTGGTTGTGCTACAGACACACGTGTTTCCATTCCTCCTCCAGCATTGAGGGGCACTTGGCAACATCACCTCTGAGAATGCTGTCACTGCTGACAATGCTGCATATGAGACAGCAAGGGGGGACGGAAAGCAAACATACCAAATGGAGAATGCTTTCCTGTGTTAGCATGACACTGTCCTGATCATGTTAATGAAGTTACTTTACTAAGCCTATGAATATTGGTCACTTCTTCTTACTGATCCCGGTTTTGGGTTCATCTGACAGGGAGAACCGACAGGAGATGATGTCCGCCCATCTGTGGCCACTTCTGGTGTCAGACGCTTAATTGTAAAGTGAAAGTGAAGTCGCTCAGTCATGTCTGACTCTTTGCGACCCTATGAACTGTAACCCTCCAGGCTCCTCTGTCCATGGGATCTTCCAGAAAAGGATACTGCAGTGGGTTGCCATTTCCTTCTCCAGTGGATCTTCCCAACCCAGGGATTGAACCCGAGTCTCCTGCATTGCAGGTAGGAGCCAGCAGGGACTAGACATTTATTAAACAGTGTCAGAGACTTGGGGGAGCCTGTTAAATGTCAGTAAGCTGTGACTGTTACAGGGGGACAGAGAAGGAAACAATATGCTTATTCTGTTCAGGGAAGCAGGGAGAGCCTTACATGCTGGGAGCACGGCTTGTCCCCCAGCAGGAAGGCCAGTGGAAAGTACAGGACCTGATGGGGCGGCACAAGCTTCTTCTTCAGGACCATGTTCAGCCAGTGCGCCATGATGCACCGCTTCCTCTCCTTTATCGCCTGCAAACACAACAATATGGGCCGGTCGTTGGGGGCTTTACTGCAGGTGACATACAGAATTGTAAGGCTGTGTAACTACAAGGTCATTTTTACTGGAAGTCCAATAAATATAGGAATTTCAGGAGCTTAGCACTCAATTTACTAAATTAATAAACTACAACAGTGTCACAGGTTAACTTGAACACAACCTGAAACACAGGAACAAGAGCCAACCACGGGGAGGAAAGCTGACAGCCCAGGAAATGACTTTAATCATGGAAAGAGATGACACTCCCGATCATCAAAATTCAAATTGCCCTGTGAGAATACGGCAACTTATGAAAACGTAACTGCCCCTGAAGTTAACCACGGGATGACCCCTACGTGCTCTTCACCAGGCATTTCTCAGAGGCCATGTACCACATACACACTAACGGCAGTCAATGAACAAGAACCCATCAGAGAAGAACAGAAATAAGCCCTGAGGGGATGAGCACAGGCCGCCCTGAGGGGGAGCTGCCTGTCAGCAGCTCCGAGTGTCCCTGTTCCTGCCGCTCCATGCTCGGGTGGCCCTGCCAGGGTGGACAGTGTCAACCTCCCCCTCACTGGGAGCCTGCCTTTCCTCCCCAGTCCTCACAGAGAAGCCAGGGGCCAGAGGTGTCCACACACCAAAGGTGGATGGAAAGCAGTGAGAAGCAGTTTCCTGTCTTCAGAGGTGGGAGAAAGACCTTTCCAAGCATGACTGTCCCAGCATCTCTCAGAGCCCCCCAGTCCC